ATGCCAAAAGAGAAAATTTTGAGGCTAGGCAGTCTTGGACTGTTTTGAATATTAAAAAGGAATTGAAAGGATTCAAACTTTGGTTGGAGAACTGCTTCCCTCCCAGTGAAGCAAACCTGGTTCCCTCACTGCTAAACTGTTGGCATATAGTCAAAACTATATTGTTTGGCAGGGCTTTTGGCTATTAAAACTGGTTAAAAATAATGAATTAATAGATTTTATTTTACATTGCTTTAAGGGGCCTGCTAAAGATGTAAGTGATTAATGAGTATTTATTTATTTTATTAAATTTATACCCCGCCCCTCTAGACCATGTCTACTCGGGGCGGAGTACTTAAATATATAAACAAATAATTTGTCTGGGCAAGCTGTTGCAAACTTCCTTAAATAGTTGCTTTCATGTGGACAGCAATATGGTCCTGGGAACCGTCTTTCCCTGAAGTGACCTTGAGAAGAGGCCAACATACCCTCTTGATTTTCAGCCCCACTGGGTGGTGCCTTGCAGCTCTCCTGTGTGATTTCTCCGCTGCGCGCGCGCTCAACTCTGCCCCATTGCACGCATGTGGGGGTCCATCGAGAGCAGAACCAAAGGGGCTGAGCAAAGGAGGAGGAAAGGAGGTGGAGTCGTGCATGCGCCTTAGAGGGATCCTTGGAAGAGGCACTTCAGGGAAGTGAAAGGAGGGACAAGTTGCAAGGAGGGGCTGGTGAACCATTTCTGAGTAGTTTATATCTAGGAAGGGCTTCCATAAGTTGGAACGGGCTTGATAGAACAGTAGTATTCCTGTAAAAGAATGTTAGGTTTCTACCCTGAGGGAATTTTGGTCTTCTAATAAAAAAGGTAAAGGAACAGGAGGCAGGATTTTGAATGAATGCACTTGCAGATCTTTGACTTGCTTTTGGTCTGGGCTTTAGCTTGTAGGAGGAGTTTCAAAAGCAGGCCTGTTCCAATTGACATGTATTCCTCTGTTTCTCCCCGATCACAGAGATATACGTCTCTTAATACTGGAGCACGGCAGGTGGTCTATGACAGAAAAATATGAGACACTTATGAAGGGACTCTCCATAGATTCTCTGTTGTTATTTGTGAAGGCTTTCAAATCTCAGCTGTTCGCAGAGGGCCTTGTTCAAGGAAACTTCACAAGCAGTGTGAGTACAGATCCGGTTGTTCCCCCCCCCATCCTATCTTTTCTTGATTAATGATTTTATCAAATAAATAATTAATTATGATTTATCCTGCTGAGCTGGAAGTATCTCCGTAAACCAGAAGCTCTTGGTGCTTCTAACTGTTGTGTTAACTCGCCCTGAAGATACTCATTGTGAATCCTTGCAGAAGTGATACCATTGTTATTTGCTTTGATAGGCACATACAGAAGAGACACGTAGGAAAGTGTTTCCCATGGGAGGAGACCTCTTTTCACTTTTAACTCAGGATGGGCAACTTTGTAGACCTGCAGGCCAGATTTTTACCCCAGTACCCACCCTTGGCTACAGTAGGCTAAGAATGACAAAACATGGCTAATAAATCAAAACAGAACAAAAATGGAAGTTTCTGGATAGCTATTTCCAGGTTTGACTTGGAGGGCTTTGGGGGAGAACTTTTTCAAATGACCGAAAAGAAAAATTTGTGTTGTTGGAGGCCTTTAGAAATTGGGAGCCACATTTTTGGCCAAAAATATTTTGGGGGAAGCTTTCTATATATTTGGGTGGCTTGGAGGCCACCAACGGTCCCATGACCTACACTTTGTCCACCTTTGCTACAGAAAAAGGCAGCAATATATGTGTAAACATGACCACCACTAACTTCTACATGTTCTTCCAGCGCCTTCCTGCTTGTTTTTCTCTCTCTCAGTTGTCCTTGAAGTTCAAGGGGACAATTTGCTGAAGCTTTGCAAATATCTGTAGCTTTACAAATATATAGTTTGGTGTGCCTTGTGGTCATGTACAAAATGTAGTGTGGCCTATGACAAAACCAGAGTGGCCACTGTGTTATCTCTTGGTTCTAAGGTCTTCAGTATCTTTGGCCTGCCACCTCCAAGTAATACTAAAAAGGTTTTCTTTCATTGGGAGGTGTAACCTTTGTTACATTGTGTCCCACAAATGGAGAGTAACATGGAATGATTTATCGTGGCAAGTGAGTAGGTAGGATATACCAAGAGCTAAGGTTATTTCTTTAATAGAAGATGTAAAGTGTGTGCACTGTTTATTTCCTGAGTACAGTAAGAGTTATTAGCTGTGGGTAAAACACTATGATTGTGTGTTATCTAATTTAGGCAGAATGTACAAGTAGTTATAAAACATCTGCCTATTTCATTTCAGGAATCAAAAGAATTTCTGGAGTATGTTGTTCAGTGAGTATACTTAGCATTTCTATTGGTAAATATTATATAGTGCTTTGAGCCATTGCCAGTACCTGAGAATAGAGAGAACACAGGAACTATGGGTGCAGCCCAGTATGAATGAATGAATACCAACAGTTCTAATTAACCCACGTAAGATAGTAATTTAGATTTCCATATGGTTGAAATAGTGGCCAAAATCTTATTGAATACATCTCTTAACAGAGAATGGATGCGAAAAGGAGGCAGGTCACTGTTTGGCGCAGCTCTTATGTGCCTTTAATATCTGTTCACTAGAGCTGGAAAACTTCTAAAGGAGAAATTTAAATAAGCTGATGGCAGGTATAAGAAGGCCATGTATGGGAACTGCCTGGAGAGGAGAATTGCCACCTCCCGGATTTTGTGGATGGTTTTGTCTGCCAGTGTATATCTGAAGTTGGTTCACAAAAACTGATGCCTGCCACACAACGCATCTTTGGTTGTAAATAATGCATTCTGTAGCTGGAATCCATTGTTTTGTCTGTACAATAAAGTGATTTCTGGAAATAGGGCAGGATATAAATATCTGGTTAAAAATAAACTCTTAGAGGCCTTGTGAGAAAAAATGACAGGTGCCTCTTTTAAGATGGCACTTGTACTAGATTTTTTAAAACAAAAATGCTGCCCTCCTAACTAGAGCACTAATTAGGTAATTTAAAGGTTTTGTTGTTGACTAATCATACCAATTAATCTATTAAATATTGCAGCCATTCTAAAAATACAAACTGCAATGTTTTCCTCTCTTATATGATGTAGGTCTTCATCATTTAGTGCTAGGAAAAGTGATTTTAGTGTCCTTTTAAAGCACATGGTCTAGCCTTGAGTATCTTAAGTCAGCATGAGTAGACTTGAAACTTGTGGGATCTGCTGCTGTTGATTTTGCTGAAGCTCTGAGATTTCCAAACAATGTCTGGTACAAAAGATGCATATGCAGAATTAAAGAATTCTGAACCTAGCAGTTTGAACACCAGAATCAAACAGAGCCCACTGTCCTTTAACACGGTGGTTCCCAACCTTTTCTGAGTCGTGGACTGGTTGGGGGGGCACCCCCGTGCTAGCGGGCGGGTGAGGTGCACTTATGCAGGGGCAGAGTACATGCTCGAAAGGGCATGCATGCATGTGTGAAATGTGCTCATGGAGGGGCGGAGCATGCTTGCGTGCATGCGCAAAGGGGCAGTGTGTTCACGGAGGGAAGGGGCGTGCATGTGCAGAGGAGTGGAACACGCTCATGGGTGGGTGGGGTGCCCATGCGTGCAAGTGGTGGGCTGTGTGGGGGGGGAGTGCGTGCGGGGGGGCGGGAGGTCTGTCTCCGTGGCCTGGTTCTGCCATGGCCATGGACCGGCACCGGGCTGCAGACCAGGATTGGGGACCTCTGCTTTAACGCACAAAACTCTAGTCCTGAGTGCCTCAAACTTTCTTCATTTTAACAGTCTAATTTAGAGTGAGAAATTGCCGTGTTGCTTAACTGTGCAACAGAATTTCAGCTGTTCTTCCACAAGTGGGAATCAGAAATCGTTGCAGCTCTACTGCAAATCACTCAGACATTTATTAGTAGGTCTAGATCCCTTTTATATCCACTGTTAAGGTCTAGCCAACCTGAATGTGATGAGCTAAGGTGTTAGATGGTGCCTAACTCTTTTGATGTTTGGACTTTTCCCCCCAGAAAATTGCAGTTTCTTCCTCTAGTACATCCATGTCCAGTTCAGTTCCGGGTGATGGACTTGCCAAATGTCCATCTGCTGTGCAAAGTGAAAACACTTAACAAAGGGGATGCAAATTCTGAAGTGACAGTCTACTATCAGGTGCGAAGAATGACCGTATCTCTTGCTTCGTGATGTATTTGTGGTTTCTAATTAACATCGTTCTTGCATAACTTGTAGAAAATTTGCACTGATTTTATAAACACAGCAGCCATTTGAGAAGAGATGGTTGTTCCGACACATGTGAAAGAGACTAGAATTGTGTATTATTTCCCCCTTTGCTCTACCCAGACCATTTCCCCCCACATTTTCTGACTGTGCTTTATGTACTGTACATGCTTGAGGAACTGAAAGAATCCTTCCTTGAAATCAGTAAAGGATTTTTTTGAAGCACAAAGCAATATGCTAGAAACTTAGGCTGAACCACTTTCTTTGATGTAGCAGTCTTGGTAGTAGACTACGGAAACACAAAATCTTATTTTTTTATTTGCAGTCTGTACAGTCAAGGAAGAGCTTTTGCCACTTCATTCTGTTGTGTGTAGACATTGCAATTAATTTATTTACAATGATATTTCAATTAACCCTTTGGACTTCCAGCTTTTACAAGAATCACACTACTGTACCCAGATATTTTTTAAAAATATCATTTGCTCCAAGATGGACCTTTCATTTGCCAGAAAGGTAGCATGATGGAAGCAGACAACTTTTAGCCAGTTGATAGTCATTTTAAAAAGATACCACAAGGCAGCTTTAACCACCCCAATGCCCTAAAAGAAGAATTTCCACTCTGTAGTTGTGCTCTAATTATTGTTCACCATCTTCCCACAACTCTTCAAAAAACTAGGGAAGTTGGGGGATTGGAATCATGGTAACAATGGCCACATGCAGTCTGTTTTGTCAAATTTCAGAGCTGTTTGAGGAAGATGGTGGTATGCAGCTGAAAATGTTGTCTTCATTTAGTTAGTTTCTACACGCTGTGTTTTCACCTGTTGTACCCCCTGCCAGTCCCATTCCACTTGCTCTGGTTGTTTATGTTCAAGTGGAAGGCCTGAAGGCTGATGCCATTTTCTGTTTTAGATTTACGGTGTTATCAGATGAATAGAAAAATGTTAGTCTCTTTCTTCTAGGAATTATAATGGTTAGCAGAACTAGGAAGTCATATAGTAAGAAGTAAAATCTCTCTGTTTCCCCCCCCCCCCCCATTTTTAGTCTGGAGCTAGGAGTTTAAGAGAATATTCTCTCATGGAATTGCTTGTGGTAAGTTTGGCTTATTTCATTAAGACAGGTTGATCTCTGGGTCTAATTTTACTAATGAACAATGCAATCCTGTCTGTACTGGGAAAAACTATATATCATATTATGGAGGTTTTGTGCTAATACCCCACTGAGCTAATGGATAGAAACTCTGGGAAAGAGGGATGTGATGTGACAGGAGTATGATTACTACAAGAACTAGTAGTTAAGTAAGGTGTTGCAATTACATGTGTTGAGATGTTTTTAAAAGGCCATGTTTCATGGAACTTTCTAACATGCTCAGTTTATTGCACAGCTGAATGTGTGTTTTTTGAATATAGTCTCCAAGCAGAACTTTCACATCCCATTATGAAATTATCACTCTTTATTGCATTTGAAATGGAAATGTTTTTAGAGGGATTCTTCTGTGCACAGATGCATTCACTGATTTGTAGCACTAAGCATGGTTGCATATCTCAAGGATTGTGTGGGGTCTCTTGCAATAAAAATTATTTCTCCCCTCTCATTAATTTATTACACACAGATGGAATATAATAAACTTCTCTATTTATGGGGAGGCCTTACGTTCTACGATCACTTACGTTCTACGATCTGGCCTTTGTACTAGGTGTAAGTGCTGCAATAGAAAGTTATTTGAGTGGATGTGTGTTCTAATTGTCTTTATGTTGAAATATTTCCCATAAATATTTAGGATACAGTAGGTTAGATTGTTTTCTCTGTTATCTTCAATAAAAAGTAAGAGCTTTTCTTCATTGAAATGCTATTACATTTCAGATGTACATGGAAGAGCCTTGTTTTGACTTCCTGCGAACCAAGCAAACACTAGGGTATGTGTCTATTTAGCTGTATTACTGGAATCAGAGAGTGCTGTATTGTATTGATCTGGAATTTCCCCATTGATGAGCACCAAACTATAGAATTTTATATAGTGGGTTACAACTGAAACAGCTAATAGTGGTTTGAATCCAGTACTCCAGCATCAGCAGAAGGAACCTTAATGTGCAACTATATCAGACAAACAAACCAAAACAGAAACAAAACATCCCCAATAAGAAAAAGAAACATCGTGGCACCTTAGAGACTAGCTACTGTGTTTCAGTGTGTGTTTTTGTGGATTTAGTCCACTTCCTCAGACATGATCCATGAAAGCACATGTTAAAATATACCCCATTTTCCTGAAAATAAGACCTAAACTGAAAATAAGCCCTAGTATGATTTTGCAGTATGCTCGTAATATAAGCCCTACCCCTAAAATAAGACCTAGTTAAGTGAAACCCCGCCCTCCACCATTGTGCAGCAACCAGAAGAAGATGGCATGCATGTATTTGAATAAACGTAGATTGTTGTACATGAAAAAAATAAAACATCCCCTGAAAATAAGCCCTTATGCGTTTTTTGGAGCAAAAATTAATATAAGACCCTGTCTTACTTTTGGAAAAACAGGGTAGTAGGCATTTAAGGTGCCACAACATTTATTTTGTTCTCTCCCTTCCTCTCTCTCTTTTTGGTCTGGTATGCTTGTACACTAAGGTGGCTACTTCTTCAAAAATTACTGAATGTGCAAGAGGGAATCTAAAGATTGCCCCCCCTTCACAGGTGTACAACAAACTGTGCTGTGGTGCAAGTGCTTGCAGCCACAAAGATTATGGAAGGGCCACATTCCACAAACAGCCCATGAACAAAACTCTTACAGTCTTAGCCAGAATTGTTCAGCCGTATCTTAATTTGAATTAAGTAGAAAATCCAGAAATTCTGATACAACATCTAAATGTTTGCTTTGTAATAAGGTTCCGACTAATTAGCGTTGAAATTTTTTGGTAGCCTGGGCAAAATATTCAACTTGAAGCTTGTACCAGAGGATCATTAAGCATTTTAGCTAAGTTACTATTCTTACCTCATGATTGTAGTAGCACTCATTCTTAAGATGTCATGGATCATGGAGTGCTCTCTCTCACACCCCTCTAGGTATCATGTGTACCCAACTTGCAGAAATACATCTGGGATCCTTGGCTTCTCCGTTACTGTAGCAACACAGGCTACCAAATACAAGTAAGTGAGTATTTGTTAAATTATGCTTCAGGCCCTGTATATGCTCTGTAGTTGTTCAGACAATGGTTTTGATCCAGCTTTCTCCAAATTGGGAGTACTTATTTATTTATTTGGTTCCAAAATAGTGTCAGAGGAATGTATGCTGCCTTCTCTTCTCTGTCTGATGGAGGCGGGGGTGGATAATAAACACTTCCTTATTCTGTTTATGTTCTTTGATTTGCAGCAGCCTTTCTAATCACTTCAGTGTATTATGTTGACCTGCCTGCCCTGGAGACAAAAGGGACTACAGATAACTTGATTTCTTTTTTTCTTGTCCTGTATTTTAAAACTGTCACTAGATGTGCAGTTATTAAAACTTTCGGGGGCAGGAGGAAGTGAGTTCTTTTGTTTGCTATAAGGGGAGGTTCTTGAACAGCTGTGCCATGTGCTTGTGGGAGCCCAGTTATTTTATGCTGACAGCACTGAAGAGATTCCCAGAGGGTAAAAATAAAAGAGAAACTCTTTTAAGTGCAACCCTGTTGTAGTTGCAATATATTTGAATAATGATCTGTTTGCTGTGTTGAAATTTATGTTTATAAATAATGTGGGGGTCAACAAAGTAGAAATCATGTGGAGGCAGAAAAGGGTTTTTATTTGACCTTTTTTCCTGCAGCCTTCTCTTCCTGTGCATACAGGAGTGGCTGGAGGAGTAGGAACTGGAATCCAGTGAATGCCAGTGTCGTCACTGTAAACTCAGCATGGCTAGGGAAATGGCTTGATCTATTAGGTTAGCAGCACAGTAACTACACACCCCTGTGTGACAAGTCTCTACACAGGTGATGCAGATGAGGAACTATTCTGTATCATGAATACCACAACTAAAGCACAGTTTGGCTCAACAGTACATGTGCACTTGCCTGTTCCTTCCTATTCTGAGATATTAGAGATGATCAGTGCATAGGAGCAGCCCTGACAGAGGTCCAAGATTTGTCCTTATAACGGTGAGGGTGGATTGTGAGCAACAGAGCAACAGTGCAGCCTAGAGCATAGATGCTAATATTGATTTATTAGTGAATTTCAGTGCCTTGAGCTATGGGTATCAGCTAATGCTGGGGTTAGAAACCTGAGAGACCTCTAGATGCTTTGGACTACAACACCCACAAAAACCTAGCCAACATGTCCAGTGCTCAAGGATTATAGGAGTTGTAATCAAAAACATCTTAGATGTCATCAGGTTGCTTCCAGAGAGGAGCAGGTCCTTGTGGACTCAAGGTATCACTGCCTTGTGATGTACCAGGGTTAGAGTTAAGGCAGAAAGTGTCAAGAGGGAAAAGGGGCGTTTCCGGCCTTGTGTAACCCTTCTTCTCTTTAATGACCTGCTTTTGCCCTCTCTAACCAGATCATTAATGTATAAACACGCTCAAACAAATTAAAGTTGGCATGAAAAAGTAGTTAGTAGTTACTGCAGTATTTTTGAATGGGCATTGAAAGCATGCCAGATATGTGGCAGATAATTGAGGTCCCAACAAACTCCATGACTTTTGTTTTGGAAGATAGGAGGCTTGTTTTTTTATCATCATCATCATCATCATCATCATCATCATCATCATCATCATCATCATCAT